TCAGAACCAAAACAGATGTTTTAGCAGGTCCGAGCTGTAATGGCGCAGCTCTATTCTGGAAAAGGGGCCGGGGAGCAGCAGCTCATTTGCATTGAAAGACACAGGCCCGAAAAACGGCGTGTTTCTGCTTCCACTCAAAATAGGCATTTTCAAAATGATATAATAAATGATCTGTGGAGTATTTTGAGCTGAGATTGCATATTGTAAAAAAGGGGCATAATATGTCTCCTTTAAAATGTAATTGATTCCTGTGATCAAAGCTGAATTTTCAGCATCATTACTCCAGTCACATAATCCTTCAGAAATCATTCTAATATGCTGATTTGCTGTTCAAGAAACATTTTTGTTATTATTATTATCATCATCATCAATATTTAACAGTTGAGTACATTTTTTCAGGATTCTTTGATGAGTAGAAAGATCCAAAGATCAGCATTTATCTGAAATAAAAAGCTTTTGTAACATTTTACACTATACCATTCAAAAGCTTGGCATCAGTATGATTTCTTTTTCGGAAAGAAATTATAGAAGTTAATACTTTTATTTAGCAAGGATGCTTTAAATTGATCAAAAGTGATGATAAAGAAATGTATAATGTTACAAAAGATTTATATTTCAGGTAAATGCTGTTCTTCTGAACTTTCTATTCATCAAAGAAACCTGAAAAAAAGGGGGGGGGGGGGATTTATAGAAATCAATACTTTTATTTAGCAAAGATACTTTAAATTGATCAAAAGTGATGATAAACTTTTGAGTTTAGAATGTTACAACAGATTTCTATTTCAGATAAATGCTGCTCTTCTGAACTTTCTATTCATCAAAGTACCTGAAAAAAAATTCTACTCATCTGTTTTCAACATAATAATAATAATAATAATAATAATAATAATAATAAATGTTTTTGAGCAGCAAATCAGAATATTAGAATGATTTCTGAAGGATCATGTGACTGGATGGAGTTAAAAATTCAGCTTCGAAATCACAGGTATAAATTACATTTTAAAATATATTCCAAAAGAAAACGGTTGTAAAAAATATTTCAAAATTTTACTGTTTTTGCTGAATATTGCACATAATAATTTTACATTTAATAATTTTCTACATAAACATTTGTATGCTTAATTAAATCATGTTGCATATTTTCACTTTGTGAAGTTATGAGGTGTTGTTTATGAATTATAGGCTTTTTGGGTACATTTGGTCACGCCCTTATATTAAAAAGATTCTGATGTGGTCATCAAAATAATAATAAAATGTATATATATATATTTTAATATACAACATATTTCATAATACTGTGATAGGGAATTCATAAAATTATGACAGCAAAAAAAAGTTTTTTTTATCTAAAATATTTGACATGAACAAAAATATAAAATACAGTGTGACCAGGGTAGAGATTCACCACCAAATGACTCTTATGAGCCTGTTCCTTTAATGAATCACTTAAGACAACTCAAAAATTCATGGTCTGAATCACTCTGACAAATTATTCATAAAATGAACACACTAAATTAGTCTGAGTGTTACGGAATCGACATATTTCTATTAAATACTCCTGACAGGCAAACATAATTAAGTAATTAATTAATTAAAGTATTTAATAGAAATATATATATTAATTAATTAATTAAAAATGAGATTTTGAGCAAATGACTATTCTATTCAGTGAATCAACAACAAAAAGCGCAATAAATTACTCTTACTTTCAGTGAATCAAGTGAAATGACTCACAAACTATATGTGTCTGAGTATTTATCACATAATGGCCCCTCAGCTGAAAGCATCCTTTAAATGCATCTGTCTCGCATCAGCACACATTAGTGGATATGCCAAGAGCCAGGCAGAACGCTGGAGCTGGTTTCAATATTCTCTCCCTGAAGTGGAGCTGACAGAGCTTCAGACTCGCAGACGGGACGCACCGAGAGAACACTACGTCCAGAGCTCAACAACATAATGACATCAAACTGGGTCATGAGACGTGCTGCGAAGAACTCAAGAACACCGAACTTTTAAATCACTGATCGCATTCGTATAGAGGTCACACAACACAAACCATGCATGAAGCATGCGTGCATATTTTGTGCATTTGTTCATGACAGAATGCAGCATGAAGACAAATTTGCTCCTTATCGAGATCCACAAAGAGGTCACATAGTTTGGAAGTTTCCATTCTTATTTGGAAATGAATGTGCTGGGATCTGAAATTGGGATTCGTCAATTTAAACATCGGAAATCATGAAAAGATCAACTGTAACAATAGGAATCACAATGAGAGACTACTTTTCTTTAAAGAAGCAAACTGCTTGCCCGAGAAATTCCCTCTTGTAAATATTTTGCTTTACCAAAAAAAAAAAATCCCTTTGAGAGAAAAATGCTCAATATCAAGAGACTTTCCAACTCTTCAAGGTCATATGCATCTTTTTTCTAAATGTATATAATTCAAATCTGAATATGTGCAAATATCAAACCTCTTGTAATATATATATATATGAATAGTTTATTTGCAAAAACAGATAACTCCATTTTTTTTACATTTTCAAAATTATGTTTTTTATTGTCATTACGTTTTTATTGTGTTTTATTATGTTACTTAGCTGTATTTTTTACTTATTTTTTACCTAATCAAAATGACCCAACTGCAGTTTGATTGAGATTCATTGGAATGCACAATGAAAAACATGATTTTTAAAAACTGTTTTTGCAAATGAACTCTTCATTTATTATTATTATTATTATAAATATAATTATTATAATTATATTATTATATTTATAATAAACATAACATTTATTATTAAATTACTTACATTTACCCATCTCTGGTTTGATATTTATTTTTGAATACACTGTTTTTTATTAGTTTAATGTACTCATATACATTGCTGTATGTATTTAGTTTTTTCTATAATTTTGTGAAAATGTTATTTAGGTGGAGGCTTAAAGAAATAGTTCACCTGAAAATAAACATTTGCTGAAATCCTGCAGGCCATCCAAGATGTAGATGAGTTTGTTTCTTCATAGGAACAGATTTGGAGAAATGTAGAATTACATCACTTGCTCACCAGTGGATCCTCTGCAGTGAATGGGTGCCGTCAGAACGAGAGACCAAACAGCTGATAAAAACATCACAATAATCCACAAGTAATCCACACCACTCCAATCCATCAATTAACATCTGAATTGAAAAGATGCATGTTTGTAAGAAACAAATCCATCAAGACATTTTTTTACTTCAAACATAACTTTCGGCGGAAATGAGACCTTAATTCACAACACTGATTTCTGCAATGACAAAGTTGTCGCATCTGAATCGGGAGAGAAATCTGCACAGATCAAGCATCATTTACAAGCAAAACTCGTTGCGAGAGGAAAACAGCGGATGGACGTTTTCACTGGAGGAAGCGTTATTATGAATTATAGACTCATATTTTAGCCAGGAGCAATGGTTTAAAAATTAGTCAATGATAAATTTGTTTATGAAAACACAGCTTTTCTCATTACAAGATGTTAACTTATGGACTGGAGTGGTGTGGATTACTTGTGGATTATTGAGATGTTTTTATCAGCTGTTTGGACTCTCATTCTGACGGCACCCATTCACTGCAGAGGATCCATTGGTGAACAAGTGACAAATTTCTCCAAATCTGTTCAGATGAAGAAACAAACTTGGATGGCCTAAGGGTGAGTGATTTCAGCAAATGTTCCTTTTTGGGTGAACTACTCCTTTAAGGTGGAGGCTTTAAATAAGCCCTTATAGGTTTTCGGCCTTTGCGTTGTCTTGCTTTTTTATTTTATATAGTGCAAAATAATTTTAACTAAAAACAACTAAACTAAACCATCTAATAAGAGGGAAAAAACTTCTCTCCAATCACGTTTTCATCAAGACAGACTGAAAGTGACCTTTTGTGGGGTGTGGAGTGACATGAGAGGAGAAAACTATTCGTTCCTGGTCCGACTTCACCGAGCATCTACGTAACTGCTTACAGAACAGAAGACGTTTCCCACAAATATCCTCAGGTGTTGACGCTACCTCGCATTTTAACATGTGGCCTCCAAACAGCTTAATACCCTTGCACTTAGACCTAGTTAGAAACAGCTTTCCACAACCACGGCAACTATTACCGCAGATCTAAAAAGTGGAGTAGGCCTACGGCCCAGATTGTTATGTAAATTCAGTACTAGCAAAGGTATCTGCAGTTTTCTATCTACTATCTACTGAGTGAGCTGGAGTAGACCTGCCACTGTCTATTATGTCTTTAAAGGGGTCATATGATGCGATTTAAATTGTTCCTTTCTCTTTGGAGGGTTACAAGCTCTTGGTGCATAAAGAAGATCTGTAAAGTTGCAAAGACTAAAGTCTCAAATCCAAAGAGATATTCTTTATAAAAGTTAAGAGTCAGCCACGCCTACCTAAAACGGCTCGTTCGAACACGCCCCCACATGTCTACGTCACAGTGTGGGAAGATTTGCATAACGCCGCCCAAATGTTCACGCAAAGAAAGAAGGCGTAACTTTTATTCTCGCTGTAGTATTGTTGCCGCCGCCGCCGCCATGTTGTGAAGACACTGTGTGTTTCTACCCCTTTAATATTAAGGTATTGTATTTTCAGTGTTTTCAACTCAGCCCACAATTACTCAAACAAAACATCCTTACAAATACAAATATCATACCACACTATTTATAGTTTATGTGACATCTATCAGAACGTGTTTGTTGATATTTACACTTGGTTCAAACGGCCACAGTTTACATTGTGTAAACAGCATCTACATTAAAGTGAAAATAAGTTATTAGGAGGGAAATGTTTTTCATTCGGGTTTGTTTTAAGTCTAACCGTCATTTTACTGTCTGAATCCAGCGTCCTTTCAACGGAAAGTAACGTAAGTTAAGCGCTTTCTTTTTGAAATGATAGACTGTTCTCGTGCGCTCGACTATTAAAGTATCTTATGTGACAAATGTGCAAAATAAGGGTGGCTAATATTTGACAGATACCAGTTTACCTCAGTATAGCCTTCTTAGTACAGAATCTGACCTGTTCATTATGGCCTCAATAACAGGTGACCTGGTGGTTCTTTTGATTCATAAGCGAATCGATTCTTTTGAGTTTGTTCGCTAAAAGCATTCTTTCGGGTTCGTTCACTGATTCGTTCAGTGACCATTGTCGCAGTTTGGCAGTATGGCGACAAGTGTCTTATGAACGAGTCACTGAATCATATACTCAACCGATTCGTTAAAAACCGACTCGAATTTAAAATTGCTAAAATTATTGTTTGCCTCTTCGCAGTCCGCTCACTATTGATACTTTATCATGCTATAGCCTATATTTGTGGAAGGACGAAAAAATATAAGTCAATTCACTGCATGGAAGTGAACTAGAACAATTTGTTCACTTTAAAGATTCATTCAGCGTTCACTGCTTAAAGGGGTCATATGATGCTATTTTAAAGATCATTATTTTGTGTATTTGGTGTAACAGAATATGTTGACATGCTTTAATGTTCAAAAAACACATTATTTTTCAAATACTGTACATTATTGTAGGTCCTCTATGCCCCGCCTCTCTCAAATGCTTCATTTTCTACAAAGTCCCTCCTTTGACAAGCGCAGTCTGCTCTGATTGGCCAGCTGACCCAGTGCATTGTGATTGGCCGAACACCACTTACCATAATCGTAGCTTCAGCTTTCAAAGTAAATATCAAGACAGTTAATAATGTCCTTAGTTTTACCATCAGTTCAAGCCTGAAAGGGCAACAGAGTCGCGTGAAAGACACTGATGATGCAGTACACAAGCTGCGGTTAAGACAGCTGACGTGCTATGATTTCTGACAGACAGTTCACTCTCCTGTGATGTGACCCTGTTCCCCTCACACACACACGACGCGTTACTCTGCGCTGCGCAAAACTCCTCATTTGAACAGTCAATAGCAAATACCTAAACTTAAACTGTCATCCATAAAATGCGTTCACAAATTCGAACATCTGGGTTGTGCTGTTCTGTTGTAAATAAATCTTAACCAATGATTTCTAATTGCATCTACTTCCGGAAGGCCAAATAAAGTGCTTTTGCTTTCGCACTGAAACACACAGCGTCTCCTTGACATTGCTGCATCAACACTACTGCTGTTCCTGAAACCACGCCTTCTTTCTTTGCATGCACATTTGGGCGGCATTATGCTAATATTTCCACATAGTGACGTAGACATGTGGGGGCGTGTTAGAACGAGCCGTTTTAGGGGGACGTGGCTGACTCTTAACTTTTATAAAGAATATCTCTTTGGATTTGAGACTTTAGTCTTTGCAACTTTACAGATCTTCTTTATGCACCAAGAGCTTGTAACACTCCAAAGAGAAAGGAAGAATTGAAATAGCATCATATGACCCCTTTAAGCTTACTAGCGAGGTAAGTTAAAGTTTCGCGGTTGATAGCTATCAGAAGAAAAAAAAGTTGAAATGCATTATAAGCTATTTATCAACACATTATTTTATAGTTAAGCCTTTCATGTGACACGGCATGCAATAATGAAGCAAATTACTCACCACTGTTTGAAAAAAATATGCTGGCAAATTCCATGCACTAACAGGCAATGGACAGGCAAAGGAAACGTCCTGCTTGGAGTAGATTAAATGACCTGGATGCAAATTTGATTTCATAGCGATAAAATTTGGGGGGAATGCTAAAAAGCCAATATTGTACGGTTAGAACTCACTTCATACAGCCTCTCCTTCTGAACTGAAACAGGCCTTGAACACATGAGCAATTAAGTGATTTAAAGGGGTCATATGATGCTGCTAAAAAGAACATTATTATGTTTTGTATTTGGTGTAATTAAATGTGTTTATGCTGTTTAAGGTTTAAAAACATTATTTTCCATATACTTTACATCATTGTTTCTCCTTTATTCCCCGGGATTAAATAGAAGCTCCTTAATATGAATCAAACAACATTGACAAGAAACAGAAAAACGCTCACTGCTCTTTATTTATTTCTTCGTTTCTGACAGTTTGTTTATGTGAACAATTAGGAAGCTTGAAGCAACGTTTACTTTTATTGAAAAGTACTTGAAGGATACAGGCCATTGTTTTAATTAGATTTGTAAACATTTGTATTAATATTTTTTTTTTTAAATAATAGCATGTGATCAATTGTAGTTTTTTTCTGTGTAGAGAATAGTGAAATTTCACCGGTAGAGGCAGATAAAATGTTGATATTGTGACAATCCCTGATGGGGAAATAAAAATGAAGATGAGATTGTTACAACCACCGAGATCCTCAACTTGGCTGGTCTTTTCTATCAACCAACTTGTTTCTCCGCTGATGAGCACCATAATTCTGAAGTGTGGACATACCAGTACGAATCCTTTGGCCAAACAGTGCATTAAAATACCTGGCGAGCAACCAGGACTGATTGTCCACCCTGGCATCTACCCCCTCCACAATATTTCTTTGTGAAGTGTAGCAGCATGTAAAACGATCAGCTTTTCTGCGTACTTTCCTGCGCTATTGACGACAGAAGCACATGGCATTATAAGAGGGCCAAAACTGTGGTCTTTGCAAAAAAGACCCAGCATGTGATACTTACAACATTGCTTAAAGGGAGAGTAACCCCAAAAATAAAAAGCGACCAGCCACAGATCTTTTTGTTGTTTATTTAGGCGTGAGTTTATATAGTTTATTTGTTACTGAGTGTCTCAAAACAAACTCTAAATATCCTTAAATATGTGATGGCAAATCCTAGTGATTATTTCATCCTCAAAGGCTCTTGTTGTATCAAAATAGTAAACACGGCTGTTTCCAGGCAGACTGATAAAAAAAAACTCCCAGAAGATATGTCAGCCAATCAGATTAGAGCTTGCCAGATTGAGAAAATACGTTCCAATATGCATCAGAATGTCTTTGAACTGTGTGCGGTCTGTGAATGTGCCATCTGATGGTGTAGTTAAGGCATTTACAAGCAGGGACAAACTGGGTCATGCTAACCAACAAAACCCAACCCTAATCAACATTTTGGACATAGAAACTCGTCAAATCCGATATTCTATAATAGTTTACCTTAGCAAATAAAAACATATTTTTATTGTCTCTGTTGTGTTTTAATACAGTAATTTCTCTTTAAAGGTATGCAGTTTCTAGTTTCAAATAGCATATTTATAAAGCATCTTTTTTAACAAACTTTGCAAACACCCCTTACATATTTTAATGATTATTCTTAACCTTGCAATATTTCACTATTTTATCTAGGGCTTGACAGTAATGAGCTAACATGTGGCAAAAAAAACTTGAATTTACCAGAATTTTAGCACCTTGATTGAAACCCAAACATTTCATCAAATCCATGGCATAATTATATTAGTCAATTAACAATAAACTGGGCTTATAATATCATTGTTCCTCACCCTACATGTTCTTCTTTTTGATAATCAATTTAACTTGGATGCACGTTACAATATAGAAGAAAAAAGCTGCTGCTAATTTCGTTTTGTCGCAACTGGAATAAAAATGATTGTGATTTTAACAGTAAAAGACTGTAAAAATGCTACAGTAAAAACCTGTTAACTGGTTAACAGTAAGTTTCCATACTATATTCGGTGAATAAAGGTAATTACATTTAATGTGATTCTACAGTAAAATACTGTTAAAAATAAGATTTTTGGAAGTGAAAAAGAAAAAGTCATTGTATAATTTACAGTGAAAAAACGTAAATTGACACTCCCAGAATTCCCTGCATGACACTTCATAGTTTATGTTTTGTTGTTGAAATAACATGTTTCTTTTTAGTTTTTTCTTATTAGTTGTGTACACTAAGATTTAATCTTACATCTAATGTTGTTAAATTAATGTTTATTGCATTATTTCAGTATCATGTGTGTCACCATGATGGGGTTTAGTGTTTGTGTGAATGACACTGTGCAACTTCTATATATAAGCATTGTCCTCCTCAGCTCATAGACAAGCTGTTTGTGATGAGCTTTAGTTCATCACGTGACTTTCTCATCACCACCAGACTTTTTTTTACAGTGTAGTACTCTGTATCAGCCGGTACTATTAAAGGAATAGCTAACCAACCTAAAATAATTCTGTTATCGTGTCCTCTTTTCCTTCGTAAAACACAAAAAGAGAAATTTCGTAGAATGTTCATGTCGCTCTTTTCCACACAGTGAAAGTTAATGGTGAGCATGGCTACCAGTCTCCAAAAATGACCCCCAAAAAAAAGTATCAAGAAAGTGCGCAACACACTGCAAAAATTATCTTTCGAAGTTGTTAAAACAAATATTAAGCTATTGGCATGTTTCAGTCACTTTTTTGTGAAATTTAGCATATTCTTACTGACAATTGTTTCAAAGTAAATCCAACACTTTTTTTTTTTGACCATGATGCGTCAAATTTGATTTTGCCCATATTCAGATATCACAAATAAGATTTGCCAAATAAAACACAAAGGAAGATTTTAAATACATTATTCCATTTTTTTCTTTCCATGATCCGTAGATGAAAGAAAATCAAAGGGATTCAGAATGACATGAGGCTGAGTAAACGACAGAATTTAATTTTTGACTGAACCACTTTAATAGTGGGCTGCACATTCATATAACAAAGTGCAAGTAATCTTTTTGTTTAGGCTTGATTGCTTGAGGGATTATTGACGCCTCAGGACAGAGCGAGCCGACTGTCTTCCCAGATTAGACTTCTGGCTCATGTTCCTTTGCTCTCTTACATAAGCATAGATACTAATTAGACCTGATTGGACTTCTAAAGGTTTGAGCCAAGAAAATCCATAATCAGTCATACAAAAAGAACAAAAATACAGCGCTTAGTCCATTGACAGTGTTACATATGATTTATATCCTTGCGTAAGATGTAATCCTCTTCACGACATGCCTTGAGGTGCATTACGCTCAGGATGAATGAATTGACAGGCCACAGTGGTTCCATGAAGATGGATTAGATCAGATTTCATATTTGGACTTGGCCCAAGGGCACTGGGGAGAGCATTTGCAAGTTAGCAAATGGTATGGAGTATATTAAAGACATATTAGTCAGGGTTCA